TTCAAAGTTGTTTGGCTTTCAAGTTATATTTGTGTGTGTGTGTGTGTGTGTGTGTGTGTGTACGTGTACAGACACGCAATCGGTTGAATTAAGCGAAATAGCATGTTTCTTTCAAGTGGGCCTACTGAGAAGAAGGAAGCTACTAATCATACTAATGCAAATAAAATGCGATCACCACCACTCATAAAAAATAGGGTTAGGAATTGACTGACTTGGTTTGTGCTAGAGAACCTGGGCGGCCGGGTGGTGGTGAGGAGAGATGAAAGCTGTCTCTTAGTTCAGCAGCTTGCTCCCTCCCTGCGCCCCCCCCCCAGGAAACCGATTGATGAGAAATTAATTGAAACGAGCCAGGCTCAAACACACCCTGGCACACATAACCGGCGCCACACCTCAGAGTCTGCAAGCTGCGCTCTCTTTCTGCCTGCCTGGTCTATTTAGAGGGATGCGTTTGCGGCATAAGAATTGTGTGTGTGTGTGTGTGGGGGGGGATAAACTGGGGGCAAAGGAAAGGAGCCGGGCGGGGGCCGCGATCTCGCTCTCCTTTTGGGTGGGCGGCCTCCTCAAACTTGAGCTTTTCTCTTTGTGAGCGTTTCAACTCTGGGCACGGTCGTGAAAAAATACACCCCAGTTAGATCCTTCCATTGAACCGAAATGCGAACCGAGCCGGCAGCTTCCTAGCCAAACCAGCGATCTGAGAAGAGACTGGCTGGAATCCCTTCTCCTCGCCGTCCCTCTTTCCTTCTACCGCCCGATCCTCCAGATCTGCCCAGGACCAGCCTGCCCTTCTCGGTTTGTCGGCGGCTTTCTACTCCAGCGAGGCAGGAGGCTCGACTGGCCTACCGGCCCGGAGTCTTTTTACTCCTGCCGCGGCAGCCTGTTCCACTCACGCGGCCGCGCCCCTCCTGCCTTCCTTTTTTCTAAAAGCGGGCCTGTAATTTACAAGGAATTAAAATGGATTTTTTTCATCAAGCACAGAAAATAGGAAAATGTGAGATCGTTAATTATTGAGGGAGGCGCTTTCTCATTAGAAGGCAGCGCCGTTACAATTCAGCATTTAAATAACCGCCAAGTGAGAACAATAATTATCGTTAAGAATTCATATTTCAGCCTTTAAAAAACGCGCTGATTTTTTTCCCCCCCAGTGATTTCGTCCCCTTCCCGGGAAAACACAAAAGACGGCACCTGTCTTCCAAAAACCAAAAGAGAGGGCCAAACCCGGCTTACTCAGGGTGGGATTTTTTTTAGCCCGGAGATATAGCACGGAAACAGAATCCTGCAAATTTGCGCCGTCCGTGCCTGTCTTTGAATCAAAGTAACAATGAACTGGGTTTGAACAATATTAGCAATCGTAAAAAAAAAATAAGATAAAATAAAATAAGTTTTTTTAAAAAAAGAGATCCACTCCTTCTGAGCTCGGAACATTGATAAACTGTACAGATTCTGCACATCTGGATTGCCATGAAGATGACAACGTCACGCTCTTGGAACTTTCAGAATATATTTCTATTTGCCCTGTCCGTTTCTGCGGCTCCCCCCCCCCCATGGCCCTCTGTGCCCCAGGGGGCGCCAGACTTGCCAAATCAGGACCCCGGTCGGTCCCTGGGATGCCGCTTCGTCTCCCTGAAGAAATCGGGAAGAGAGCGAGGAAAAGCCGGTGGTGGTGGTGGTGGCGAGGTTAGAATTTCCTTGCACGGAGGCCTTTGGCAGGCGTTCTAGTCCGAAATTCAATCTCTCTTTTTTTATGAGAAGTAAACCGGCTAAATAAATTTTATTAGGGACAACCGATATGTTTTTTCTAGTCGCTCCCTTTGTTCCAGCCCTACGTGTGTGTAACAATCTAAAACCTATTTATGGTGGGAAAACTTGCCGGATCCGTCATAGAAAACCCGTTTACTTTGCGGGGGAAAGTGATTTTCCCAAGTACGCCCTTGTCATGGTGGAGATTTGGGGACCAGAGCGCTAAGCCTAGCCTTGTTAGGGACTTCACTTTGCCTGATCAGGTGGGAAATACCTTCCATTATCCACGGAATGGCCTGACTGGCACTTTTCTGGCTGCGGAGGGGCGGGAGGGGGGCGGCTAAAGCGAGGGCGGTGGAAAGGAAAGCGGGGGGGGGAGAGAGATGAGGAGGGGCGGCCCGCGAGAGGCTTCTGTAAGTGGCACCTCGGCGTCAACCCCGGCAGCATCAAATCTTCCTTCCCAAATCTTTGGATCGCAAAGCCGGAGAGGACCGCAGGGGGGGGGGGGAGGAGGAACCAGGGCGAGCCCGGCTCTGGCCACCCCTTGGCCAAGCTGCCCTTTTTTTTTCCTTCTCCGCTTTAAGATCCCTTTCTTCCCTTCCCTTCCTTCCCTTTCTCTTTTAGCCTCCTTTTTCTTTTCCCAAGCCCTCGCCCCCGCGCTTTCAACTCTCGGAAGGAATGATTTAGTTTGTTTATCCTGCTATAAAAATCAAGAGCAATAGAAAAGTCATAAAAAGCAACGCGCCATCCATCACGCCGCAGCCTCGTTTTCCCGCGGCTCCTAAGCTAGATGGATCAGCCGCGGGCTTCGGCCCCCTTGTTAGCGCGCGGAGGGGGCCTGCCCATTAACGATCCCGCTTTTTATTTATCGACCTGGCAGAGGCCGAGCCAAGTTGCATCAGGGGGAGGGAGCCGAAACGGGGGTGGGGTGGGGGGTGGGCAGCGTCGGAATACCCCAGAAGTTGGGATCGGGCCCCTAACTGGGACGCAAACCTGGGGAGGGGGGGTGGGAGGTTGGGATCGGGTAGAGAGAGCCGCCCTCCCAAGCTTGGACGTGCGGAAAGAAGGTCTCCGGGAAGCGAGCCGGCGGAACTCAGGGGCACTTGCTTTCCCACGGCTTCGGGCTATTTGCGTCCAGGAGAGAAGGAAGGCCCGCGGCCAGTCTTTGCCCCTGCAGGCTTAGTCCTACTCCCTCAAGAGAAGTAGGAGGGGGGGGGCTTTGGGTGCAGAGGAAAGCGACCCTCGGAGCCGTCTTGAGCCGCGGCTCCCGGTCTCCAACCGCGCCCCCAGGGAACACCCTGAGCTGGGAAGCCAGGCGCTCACCGATCGGCGCACCCTTTGTCTCCCCCTCGAGGGCCAGGCCGAACCAACCTGCCCAAGACGCCCCTCGCCCCTTCAGCGTCTGCCCGCAGGGCCCGGTTGGTGAGAGGCTTGGGCGGCGAAATGCCGCCGCCGCCGCCTCCTCCTCCTCCCACAGCGCCTTTCGCCTTTGGAGTCTTTAGCCCGGAGGCTCCGGGCTGAATCCCGCGGCCCCGCTCTCTTTTTTCTTTTTCTTTTTTTTGGGTGCAAGCTTTCTTTGCACTAAATGAATAATCTTAATTGCATCACTTTCGAATTAAAAATCAATGTTAATCAAGCTAGAAGTAGGAAATATCAGTTTTCATTGTGCCTGGCCTACTTGGCATTTCCCTCTCTCTCCTTTTGAGAGTAAGGGGGAGATTAAAAAAAAATCAAATAACTTTAAAAGGCCATTCTGTTCTGCTACAAATACAATTGAAACGGATTGTTTAGGAGCGGATCAGCAACGGTACAGAATTTTGCACTTAATTTCCTCCGTTATCTTTTACAATAAGGACCGCTTGCCTTGACAGCCAAGTCTAAACAGTAGTAAATTAGTACAAATTTATACTGATTTTACTCTAATAATCGTAATAAAAGCTTATAGATTTGGCACTAATTACATAAATGCCTAATGATCTTGAAAATTACTCTGGTTAGAAATATATTACTAATCTAAACTTTGTTGTTGGCTGGCTTTGAAAAATCAGAACATTAGAAATGGTTCGCTTCCCTTGTGCAAAAGCACTTAAAATTGTTGGGATAGTTTAACATATTCAAGAAGAAAATAATGTTTTCGATTTATTTTATTTTTTTTTTAACTTTATTTACTGCTTTCAATTGAGTTTGGAGAGATGAACTTAGAAACTTTCATAGCCCGCCAAATGGACCGGCGCCGGCCGGCTTTTCTGGCGCTGGTTTTCTAAGTCAAACCGACAGCTGGAATTACATCTTGTTTTTAAAATATACAAATATTGAATTCAAGGGGACTGAGATCACAGGAGGAGGGAGAGCAAAGAGGCACCCCGATCAGAGTATAAATTTCATCAGGGTTATTATACTCCGCTTTGTCCCAATCATCCCGGACTGCAGCTTGTACCAAGTTGGAAACGGCCGGATTAGAGACCCTTTAAAATCAAGCCGTCCAGCCCGTCACCCCCTCTCTGCAGTTGTGGGGGACCTCCTGCTCCCTCTTTCCCCCTCCCCGCCCGGACCCCCAAAAAGGTGGGAGAAGTCCCCACCGGAGGGCTCAAGGCCTCCCTGCGGTAAGGAGGAGGCTAGGCACCCCTCCAAGCCATTGGCGTTTCCCCCCCAAGATGCCCCTTTTATTGGCTTGGCTTTGTCAGTCATTTCCAATTAATTTGATCAGGAGGTCAGAAGAAGAAGAAGAAGAAGAGAAGGAGGAGGAGGACGAGGAGGAGGAGAAGGAGGAGGCGGGCGGGCGGGTTGGGGGGGAAGGTTGTCCCTAATGCAGTCAATCAGTCGGGGGGACCGAATTGTAAAGGGGCTTTAAAAGCCCAGCCCGCGCGGCGTTCGGCTGGCGCGGCAGCGGCGGGTGCCGTGGCTGCGGGCGGGTGGAGCGGGGACTCTCTGGGTGCTGACATTTGCAGGCTGCCCTCCTGATTGGTCCCTTCGCTGAGCTGCTCACGGGTTCACTGAAGTGTTAAGCACCTCCCCGTCTCTCTAAAGGACATTATAATGCAAGAGACCCCCCTTTTTAACCACACACCGAATTTTCTTTCATTTAGGCGATCTATATATATAAAATATATATATATATATATCCATAAGCCGTAGAGAAAGTAGATCTACTTCGGCTTGACCCCCCCCTCCTTTTTTTTTTTTTTCTTTTTCTCTCTATAAAAAATCAACAACCAACCGCTAAAATTTGGGGGGGAACAGCTTTCGCCCTGGAGCGGTGCGCGATGTTATCACACGCCGACCTCCTGGACGCCCGGCTCGGTGAGTTGCCCCCCAAGCTTCTTTTCCCCCCTTTCCCCTGCTCCCTCTCCTCCTCCTCACCCAGCAAGCCCAGGAAGAAAGCGAGGGCAGGAAATGGACAATTTGTGCCTGATTTTACCTTAATGCGATCTAAATGGGCTAATTTCTTTAAAAGTAATTGTACTGTATTAAAGTTTAATTTGATTTAACTCCGTCTCTTTAAAAAAAAAACAACAACAACAACTATGGAATATGTAGATCTAAAAGCACAATTGGGGGCCATTTCGCTTGGAGTTTTGTCCCCTCTTCCTCCTCCTCCTCCTCCTTCCTCCTCCTGGTCTTCGCCTTGGTTCTTTTCTCTCTCTTTTTTCCCTCTCTTTTTTTATTTTCTTTCCCTGAAGTTCTCGTTAAAGAATTGAAGACATAAGATTGATTTATAATTTCAGGCATTTATTGGGGTTTGGACAACTGGATGTTGTTGAGCCAAAGGAACTATACTGCTCGCTCGGCCGGGAAAGGGGCGGCTAAGGGCCCCCCAACCCGGGGCTCCTATTTAAGCGGGAATGGTACTCGAGTCCCCTGCGAGTTGGCGGCTCCCTTCCTCCCGGCTCCGGCGCCCGGGGAAGGTTGCCGCCTCGCCCGCCCTTAGTGGATCCGACGCTGAAGCGTGGTGGGCCGCTGCTTTGCCTCCGCAGGAATGAAGGACGCCGCCGAGCTGCTGGGCCACCGGGAGGCGGTGAAGTGCCGCTTGGGCGTCGCAGGCTCGGAGCCCGGAGGCCACCCGGGGGACCTGGCGCCCAACTCGGACGCGGTGGAAGGGGCCACGCTGCTCTCCGGAGAGGACATCACCACGGTGGGTTCGACGCCGAGCGCGCTGGCCGTCGGCACCAAAGACCCCGACAAGCAGCCCGGGCCGCCGGGTGGGCAGAACCCCAGCCAGGCCGGACCGCAGCAGGGCCAGCAAAAGCAGAAACGGCACCGGACGCGCTTTACGCCGGCGCAGCTCAACGAGCTGGAGCGCAGCTTCGCCAAGACTCACTACCCGGACATCTTCATGCGCGAGGAGCTGGCTCTGCGCATCGGCCTCACCGAGTCGCGAGTCCAGGTAGGCGGCCAAGCCACGGCGAGGAGGCCCTCTGCCTCCTTGCCTTCCTTCGGCCTCGGCGAGGGCCGGCCCGGCCCTTTACCCCCCCCCCCTTCCCCGGTGCCCAGGGCCTGCCAGGCCAAGGCTGGTCCTCCTCCCCCAGGTCCCGGCCCCGGCAACCAGGCGCAGAACAGGCGTCTCGTCCGAAAGGCCAACGTCAGCCATCCCGATTCCTTAACCCGGGCACAGAGAACCTTTCGGGTTGTGGCGGCCCTTCCGGTTGGAGTCCAAAGTTTGTCTGAAGTGAAAGGATTAAAAAACGGCATCGGAGGGACAAAGTCTTTTCCTTTCAAGAGCTGAAGATGAGTAATAAGAGTAACAATTTCGCTGCCCCTAGCGCGAGGTTGAGCAGCGTGGTAGACTTTTAGCAATGGTTTTTCTTTTGAACCACCTGCAAATTGAGTTGCTTGCACTGCAAGGCTAGGAAAGTGGCTTCTGGTGCAACCGACTGGTGCTCCTTTCCTAGACACCTCACTCGATTTCACTGTCGCCAATTTCAGAGGGATAGATCTCTTGAGTAAAGTCTTTGTGAAAGAAAGGTTTTAGAGGGTTTTATTTATTCAGAGAATCTCTAGACTGGCCCAAACTTTTTATTTGTGAACATGATAAATATATTTGAGAAAAGATAATATAAATGTAAAACGTTTATTAAATTTGAGACATAGAAATAAATTTGTATTCACCTTAGTCCTGATTATCAATCGAGCGAATATTATTTTAATTGTTCTAATTTTGATATCAAATGATTTGAATTGGATTTAATTTGTGAGTCGTTTTTAAAGCAACTGCGCTGTTCTTAGTCCTGAACTTTTCTTTCCTTGATTCTTTCGATCTTGGATTACACTACTTAAATATTTTGAAATCTATTTCTACTTAGAGTCTAAAGAAAATTACATCAAAAGTTCATGTTTTAATCTTACTAAATGTTGTTGGATCCAATAGAAATGGTCTTGGCTTGACACTAAAAAGATGTTGAGAATTAAACAAAAATCTGCCAGATTTCCAAACAAATTTCGATACAGTTGGAGTATTGTCTGGCTTTGCAGAGCAGATCTAATTAATTCATTGGCAACTGGAGAATACCAGTGGAAATTCAATGGAATTTTTAAACTTGCACTTAGAAATCCTTAAGATTTTAAAATATGTCTTTTCTAGATTGTTATCACCCATCTATTTATTTTAAACACTTCAGAAAAATAATAAACATACTTAGAAGGGAGATACCTGCAAGTTAGGCCTTTATTGTACAAAAATAAAAAGTGTCCAATTGTATGTTTTAATGCATAAAACTTTTTTGAAAGAAAATATTTTTCACAAGTAAGATTTAGTTAGAATATATACAACAGATATTACTGTGAATTATATCTCAAAGGTTTCAGCTAAAATAAGAGAAGTTTTTAGTTGGTGACAAAATTAAAAAGAAAACAAGGTCAAATAAATTACACTGGATTTATATATATATATATACCACCACCGTGGATTTATATATATATATATACCACTACAAATGCTTAGTAAAAAAAGGCAAATACACAGATTTTAAACTAAATGATTTTAGTTTTATTCTCAGGAAATTAAAATGTATATTGACTTTGATTTACAATCATATGGTAGAACAAAATATCCATCCCCTTAAAACCTATTAACATAGCTCTTTACAACTACCTCAATTATTAGTTTAAAAATACTATTAAAATGTAGAGATTTTTTTATCTGAAAATATCTAACAATTGCTTTTCTCCAGTTACATCTTACCTAAAGCCAATTTCCATAGACTTCAAGACTTTCTTATAAGCAAGCCCAATTACATCGACTGGATTTATCTCTCAGTGAACTGCAAGCTAGGAAAAATATCTTAATAACATCTACATAATCTTACAGTCTTCTAATGGCTTCAGGCAGCTGAATAGAAACAGTTTAATCGAGTGGCAATTTAAATATTCTTTACAATAATGTTCTGCAGTTTAAAATGTAATCAAATCAACATAACCTTCTTAATTAACACTTCAGAATGATTAACACTATGTAAGCTTGTGCAAAAAATAAATTATGGGAAATGTATTTACTTCCCAGTTCATTGTATTCTTGCTACTTGACGAAATGGAAGAGTAATGGCTGAGTTTATGGTCTCACACACCACCTTTTCGGTGCGTGGGGACTCTACACATATCCAAAATGCTTCACACGCCCGCTTTTACTGCAGCAGCCCTGGATGTACCCTTACATGCAAGAATAAATTATATCTTTTCTATTTTCTGGTCTACATTTTAAAAAGCTATTCCTGCTTGTCAAGGAGGAGGCTTATTCTCCTTTATGTTACTGCTGTACTATTCCCCCCCCCCCATCTTCCCAGACTGGGTGTAATAGTAATAAAACCATTCTTTTTATAGCATGCCATTATTAGAAACCAATTTCAGAATTATTTATAACCCAGAATGGCTTATTAAGCAGCAATGTGAGAATCATGCAAATGACAGCGATCCAATGCAATATAATAAGCATAATCATTAGTCTCTCGTGCTGATTAATTAACTTTCAATATTTTATTTACATAAAAAGCAAATCAGTGAAATAACTTCTGCTCAGCTCAGGCTTGCCTTTCAATATTTTACACCAACCTAAAAATAATGTGCAAGGACTCCATTGACCGTGTCCCTCTGCGCTGGCCATGTCACCTGCCACATCTTAATAGGGGACAAGCTGAGAGTATTTTCTAGTTTTCTAATGGAATGAGAAATTGCATTTTCTTCCTCTCCCAGCAACTATTAAAGCGTAATGAATTCGGCCCAGAGTTCACGGCTGGCTGATCGAAATGAACCTGAGATCTGAGCTTTAATGCAGCTCTCCAGATTTCCTACCAAATCTTCCCATTAATCATCTGATGGATTCCAGTGAGATCTTCATAAGGCTTTGGGCGAAGATAGAGAGGGGAATAAAAAGGAAGGAAGGAAGGAAGGAAGGAAGGAAGGAAGGAAGGAAGGAAGGAAGGAAGATAATATCCCTTTGACTATTTCTCCCGTTTATAGCTGGGGGATTAAAGGGCTATATATCTCTAAATACATTTACAGTGTGCCTATATTACTGTAATAGCAGACTGTCATTAAAGCAGAGTTTGAAATTGCAAACTCCATTAGACCCTTTGTACCCTATTAATACTATTGGCTGATGCAGAAGCTAAGAGGTAATTGTTGGTATGCCGATCTCAAGGCAAAGTTGCCCAAATGCCTCTGGCTAATATATTTCCAGAGCCAAGCTGTCAAGGGTGCTTTTTCCAAGTATCCCTCTGGTTCTTGCTCCTGTTTAATCTGTCATGCACTGGTTTCCAAATGGATACATCCACATTTTCAAAAGCATATGCGCTGTTGCTCTGAAATGAGGTGATCCAGACTTGATGGAAATTCTTTTACAACCCCAGTAAACCATGACACATAAAATGATTTTGTGGCCACCATTTAACTAACCCTAAAATGTAATTGAACAAAATCCTTTCCCCTCTGCTCCACATCTTCCCCCCTCTTCTATTTAATTATTATTCTTATAAAATTTTGACACTTAACATCTGTTCTTTCTTGCTAATGGGCCCAAGCATGTTTTCCAGTCTAAATAAAAGGGTTTGGAAAAATATGCCTCTCCTTGGAACCCACACCCCCCCAAAGTCAAGGCTGAGAAAGTAGCTTGAAGATTTCAGCAATGGTGTTGAAAAAAGCAAAACGCAACTTCATTTTCAAAAACATGGAAATTGTGGTCAAATCTGTAGTCCATATTACTCTGAAATTAACAAATGTGCTCTCTAAGGAGGCATTCTTAATACTTGAACACAAAGATTAAAGATCTGTTAAAATTGTTTAAGTGTTAAAAGATTGGAGAAAAAAAAAAGATAGAAACTGATGGGGAAACAACTAGTTCCTCCTTCTCTGAATAGTATCCCGGTTATCTTTTAAACAGGTAGATTATTTATTTTTATATTTTTTTACCCCATCTTTATTACAATATAAGTAATTCAAGGTGGCAGACATGCATAATACTCCTTCCTCCTCCTATTTTCCTCATGACAACAACCCTGTGAGACAGTTGGGTTGAGAAAGTGTTTGGCCCAAAATCACCAGCTGATTTTCCTACCTAAAACGGAACTAGAACTCAAAGTGTTCTGGTTTCCAGATCAACAATTAACCACTACACCAAACTGGCTCTGTGCTTGAGAATGCAAACTGAAACATTATACTTGTACCACTTGCCAGTTGACAGCACCCAGGCTGGTTAAAAACAAATCATCCTTCACATGAAGCAAGAACAGACAATAGGAAAAGCCAATCCAATTGGCTAAACAATAATAAAACCTAGTTAAATTTTAGCGGGAGGAAGAGGACTAAAAGGCCAGCAACACATTCTTTTCAAATAGCAATTCATGAGCAGCCCCTTCACTTAAAAAATGAGTTATATAGATAAATATTGTATTTGAGAAATGAACTGAAACAAAGAATACAAAGCCTAAATAAGAGAGAAAGCTAACTGAAGAACACAATCCTAAACAGGCCTATATTTGAGTTAAATGGAGTTTGTTCAGCATTATATTTAGAAATAAGTGGGAAAACCTTATTACACTTATTGTCATGCTTAAAATCATAGTGGCTTTGAAGAGAAGTCACACGTGTGTAATTTCCCAAAGCTTTTAAGAAGGTATATATATTTAGGAGAAGATTTTTAAAGAGTTTCTGAATTAAAAGATTGAATAGAAGTGGAAAAAAATAAGTAAGCATAGGTAAGGTCAATAGTAGCTGAAACTGATAAAATCTTGGTTAACTAAAGAATAGGTGTGAATGCCTAAAACAAAATTCTGTACATTTGCCAGAACAGCTCACTTGAGGTAACATTTTAATAAGTAATCTTGCAGCATTTGAGTTTAATCCCCAATTTCATAGAAAAATGAAATCTGATGTTTGCCTTGAAATATCTAGATAATTGCTTTCTTTTCACTTTCCTGAAATTCAGCCAAAGAAAATTTAAATTGCACAACACCTACTATACTAAGCAATGGCTTTTCATTTCTGGTATGGAAAATATGCTTGTTTTCATCATAATTAGAAAATACAAGACCTAATATAAAACAATTCATGTCCATTCTCATTAAAAACATTAAAAAATTTGGAATTTCTGGGAAAAAATGGGGAACTATTGGACAATTGGTCTAGGCTAGCTCTTTCTTTTAAAACCAAATGCAATATTTGAACTGGTGTATAATTTATTAGATCTTGGTGAAACTCATAGTTACTAATTCACCTGGCTTTTATTTTCAATCACATTATTTTAATTCTTGGGTCAGAGCAGTGTGCATTGAACCATATAATGTAATCTTCTTTGGGTTATGTGTAAAAAAACTCACATACATGAATATATTTGAAAAAAATAAGCTGAATCACACTGGATAAACACTTATCTGGTCTGGATTTTTCTTAAACAACACTTTGTCTGGCAAGGCTTATGAAAACAGTTTACTCCAGTAATCTGAACTGGTGGCAATTGCCATACTAGTATTAGGCATACCACTGATTTAAAAGCACCGGTAAGTATCCATAAATAATTATAAATGGTACTTATATACACCAAATATCAACATACAGTGGGTCTCAGCAAGTTGCTGCTAGGATATTTCTAACCAACATGACATTGTGTTACTGAATCCAAGGCTGAACATAGGATTTAGCAATAGTGGTTGTTAGACTTCCATCCTTGAGATTAAAAATTAAGGATATAAAGTCCAACACAGAAACAGATAAAATGAAGACTGGCATGTATTTTTCAATCTTGGTTTTGCTGTGGTTTGGAGTGTAAATTTCCACATTTTAAATATTATACCATTTCAGTATTAGTGTTTGTGTGTGTATGTGTGTGTGAGAGAGAGTCAGAGAGAGAGAGACAAAAGATTTATCAGGAATGCGCTACTAATTCTTGAACATATAACAATGGAAAGGTAGAAGTGATATTTGGATATATTTGTTGATTAATAGAAATCAGTGCCAAATATATGAATTCAAAATAAGGACTACTATATACATTTAGACTTTCTTCTACAAAATATAAAATTGCAGCCCAAATTAGCATGACTCCCTCAATCATTTTGCATTATAGCTATAGTCAGATGATGTATCTGCTTTGATTATACTGTTTGGCTATTGTGTATTTCTGATTAGTTGATAATAGCTTCAGTGGAATGAAGTCAATACTCAGCAATGAAATATAGCACTTAGCAATAAGCTATAATCTTGCACCAGGTAGTTTAACCTGAATTCTAAAACTTCATTATATTTAAATGCAAGGGTTTTATTATTCAGCAATGTGGAGATAAGTACAGTGATACTTATTGAAAAGTATTTATTTTTAAATCAGTGCTAGTAATATGCTGGGGGAGAAAATAACAATTGGATCTGTTAATGGAAAGTTACAGCCTATAAGCAATTTAAATCCAACCCTACATTTTAGGGTTTGTTTTCTATTTGCCCACTAGCATCTCCTGAAAGTAAAATAGGTAACAATTACAGTATAGCAAAACTATCCTGACAAAAATAATCTAAATGTTTATTAAATGCAATGTATATTAGTAAGGCAACGGTGATGCTTGAGACAAATATTGAATTTTATTACAGAATGGAAACTTAAGTTTCGTATATTTACAAAGTTCAATTTATTCTTTCCCTCGGACCATCTGTGTTTAGAACTGGCAGATGCCCCTTATTGAAAAGGGATTCTTTCTTTTTCTCCCCAAATCCCAATGGAAATATAATACCCGCCCTTCACTATATATTCCTTTGTTTGTTAATTGAGTAACAATTGCTTGACGAAGTAGGAGAAAGCTCGCTTTCGCCCAGAGATTTCCACAGGGTAGCCCTCCTATCTTCGGGGTTTCCTCGGCCGCTCAGGCCTTCCCGGCGAGCTGGTGGACTTGAGGGGGGGGGCGCACGCCCTTGCGGCTTCGCCCGATTACAGCGCAGTCTTCCGTCGGTCTAACCCGGCCTTCTTTTCTCTTTCATGGGTCCTTTCTTCTCCCTTCCTTCTTCGGCGGCGACTGCTGATCCGAGCAGGTCTGGTTCCAGAACCGACGGGCCAAGTGGAAGAAACGCAAGAAGACCACCAACGTGTTCCGCGCCCCCGGCACGCTGCTGCCCACGCCAGGGCTGCCCCAGTTTCCTTCCGCCGCCGCCGCCGCAGCGGCCGCCATGGGCGACAGCTTGTGTTCCTTCCACGCCAACGACACGCGCTGGGCCGCGGCCGCCATGCCGGGGGTGTCGCAGCTGCCCTTGCCGCCGGCCCTGGGCAGGCAGCAGGCCATGGCGCAGTCCCTGTCGCAGTGCAGCCTGGCGGCGGGCCCCCCACCCAATTCCATGGGCTTGTCCAACAGCCTGACGGGCTCCAACGGCGCCGGCCTACAGTCGCACCTCTACCAGCCCGCTTTCCCCGGCATGGTGCCCGCTTCCCTGCCAGGCCCCAGCAACGTGACGGGCTCGCCGCAGCTCTGCAGCTCCCCGGACAGCAGCGACGTGTGGCGGGGCACGAGCATCGCCTCCCTCCGCCGGAAAGCGCTGGAGCACACAGTCTCCATGAGTTTCACCTAATGGCGCCCCCGCCTTCCCAGCCAGCAGCCTCTCCCAGCCGCGCCTCCCGTTTTCCCGCCTTTTCTTCACCTCCGTCCGGCCTCCTTGCTCTCACCCGCGCGGATTGCCTGGTTCCCGCCATTTCCCCCCCCTTTTTACCTAAACGAGGAGGGGGAGCCACTCACTTACCAGGGAGCCGACTCAGGATCTGAAACCAATGGGCTAGTTTTGTGGGGAGAGTAAAACGCAAGCGCTCACACACGCGATCTCCGGCGAGCACCCCGGGCAAGTTCGTGCTGCAAGGGCGGAGACTGAGCCAACGCGTGTCTTAATTAAGATTTAAGAAATACCTATCCTAAGGACTCAGCGGGCCTCATTTAAGTTCTGTCGAAGTTCCTCCCCGATTCAGACACACAGGGGCATATATATATATAGTGTGTGTATATACATAATATATATGTATGTATATGTATGTATGTATACACACATATACATGCGTGTGAGTGGGTGTATACATACATACAAATACAATAGCCACGTTTGCGGGGGTTTTGATAGTTTTTTTGGGACGGGCGAGCTCGACCTTCGGGCGAGAACCGTGGCGATGACGTGAATCGTCCAGGGAAAATAGCCCATTTTGATAACCCTTTTTAAGCGACCAGAGTCGAATTCAATCGATTTTTTTTTAAGGCGACACAGAAACCTCCGCCCCTTCCTTTCCCGTCCTCCCCACTTTGGTGGGCTATTTAATTTCTAGGACGACCCCGTTTCAGCTTTGGCGCCCCTCATTTTTTCGCTTTGTTTCGGCCGCAACCCCGCGCCCTCTCGGAGCAGCGGGCAAGAGACGCCTGGCTCACGTAGACCCGAGAGACCTCCAATCTGGCGAAGACTTTGTACAGATAAAGCAAGCCGCTGTTTCTCCCCCTTTTCTGCATGTGCTGGTCCAAATCCAGAGAACAGAAGCTGTTTCGAAGAATGAACCCACGGTGAAATAGGATGTTTTGTGTAGATAAAGCATTCTTGTTACATACTGGTCGATTTGTGATATGTTTTAAAAAAAAAAAATACTGTCTGTGCTTATTTATTATGGAATTTTGGGTTTCTTAATAAATGTTTGAGGCTATTACAAACCTATGATTTGACTTTTCCCAGCGAGTTGGCACCACATTAATGTACATGGATAAATAAAATAATTTGCTACGTGCGTAGTGGGAACGACGATTGTGAGATAAGGGGTATTTTAAAACGAGTGAGCAAATAATTCATTTTTCCCCCCCAGTTTGGAATGGGGAGAGTTGTCACATGTTTGGGAATAGTCCTCTGATTTTGCAATGAAGCTACAGCATTCCTTAATTACAATTTCAATAAACCGCTTGATCTCTTTGTGTCAAATGACTTAGTATAAGAAGCAAGATTCTAATGGAAATATCGGCAGCGAGAAATATCTGACTCTAAAACAAGCACTTGCTTGTAAGAATGCACATAAAAGGATTACAGGAAAAATGGCAAATACCCAAGTTCCTTTGTTCTGGTGGTGAAACATTTGCAACAAATAATATTCTTCTTGGTAAGTTCAGAGCAAAACATTTGATCAGACCAAGCTACCATAGAGGAGACAAGGCATACAATAAAAAAAAATCTTCAGATTTCCTAAAAATAATATTGCTTATGTATATTTCATGTTGATTACTAAGTCTGTAAATGGCAAAAAGAGAAAAACAAGCCACCTTTTGTGACTATATTGGTAATAAAAAAAGGGCAGAGATTAAGATGGTAGGCTTAGATAATGCTCCACTGGTTTTTTTTAAATCTTGAGTAAAGATTGGAGGGAGGGTTAGGGTTAGGGTGAAATGAAATTGAATGTACCTGGTGAAAACAGAAGGTACATTTGCCATACATCTTTTTTCTGGCTCAGAAATTAGTGCCAGTTCTGGTTGCTGAGACTTGCTGCAACGGCAGAGAAGATGCTCACTTCCCTTCCTTGTGCTTTTGCAAAGTTGGTCTCGGAAAGGCCAAACGAGGTTGCCAGGCACCAGGCAGAAAAGGACTCTGTCCTATTAATGGGATGCGCTCACTTCGTTTATGTCTGCACATCAATTACACATTTCTTAATTACACACTGGAGGATGCCATGTCCGGGAGCCTTTCACATGAGGGCATTGCTGGCTCCCAGCAAGCATCACCCAGGATACACACACACACACTCACCCCCCCCCATAGAGTAATAATTTTGCTCCCCTCCCAATATTTTAAGGAATCTTTAATTTCAAAATGACAACTGTTTATGGCTAACTAATACCTATGAAAAAGACATCTAATTAATTTGAGGTTTATGATATAGCATTTAAACAGCCATCACAGACTGAAAATGTTTCAACATAAGCAATCGTTCCAAAAATAAGTTCTAAAGACTCCCTATGCTTCAAGCAAAACTATTACCCTTATGGTACTCCTTATGACCCACTATCGCTTTGGAAAATGGCTACAGTACTCTTGAAGTTTTAATATGCTGTTTGTTAAGCTGGGAACAGCATCTTTATCCAAATAATGAGTTTAATTTCTAATTATTTTAATTAAACATGCAGCATCAGAGGAAATTTGATCTTTAGAAGAATGTTTTTTTTATTTTGTTTTGCTTTGAATTTTTAATTCACTTTTATGTTCTGCTGGACCAGGATCATTTACTGGTGTACTTTAATCTCTGTATTTTTCTATACTTCAGCTAGGAATCTCTGATGGATTCTAAATAATAGCATATATTTAAATATTAACCTTGAACACAATAGTGGTTTTGAAACATAATAAAGAGTTCTTATTTAACCAGGGCCCGGTTTGGTATTTCCCTAAAAAGAGGCATCTTTCTAGCCTGCCTTTTGTCTCTTAATTTAGATCATGGTATCCTTATTGTGTGCTTTATTCCATTTTTGTGTCTTTTATCTACTTTTAATGTATTTTTTTAAAATAAAAGAGTCTCCCCTCTTCTTCAGATCTTGTTTGTGTGATGTTGGATTAAAAAAAGGTCCTAATTCTGAGCAGTTCTATTAACTTCTTTTGATACAGAAAATCTAGTTTCTGACAATTAAAATGGCTATGAAGGCAGACTTAGAATACTTCTCTTCAGGGCTTTGGCATTGCTTCAGGAGCAACATCACCCCTTGATCCATTGGTGGGATTCAGCCAGTTTGCACCACTTCGGCAGAACCGGTAGCTAATTTTTTGTTGCCCAGGCCCAGAATGGACTTCTGGAAGTGGCATCCACACAAAGAACCGGTTGTTCACATATTTGAATCCCACCACTGCCTTTGATCTCACACCACTTATCCAGATAGGCAGCTGAGCCAAGTTTTTTCCCCAGTTCAATTGTGAACCAATTCAAATTGCAACACTTCTGTATTTTCCTTTCCTCGCAACTGTTAACCTGCTATAACATTCTAATATTCTCGCATTGTGCTTCAGATCAGTTTTGCCTACTGATCTGTTTGTTTGTTATTCTATTGTTTTGTTTCAGCCTTCTACCACAAAATCAAACACAGTGGAAAGCCGAGTGCTACCCGGAGCTCAATTGGGGGTTCTCTATAGGTCAACAGGAAGGACTGCTGGCTGGTTCATCATGTGTTCTCACATTGGCATGGGTGAAGACAATTGTGGGTCATTATAAGATGAATTCAGAAGATTTGAGGAGTGACAATGGTGACACTGTGTGGAAATGTCCATAGGTGTTAGGAAACTGCAGCAGTGTTGAAAATTAAGCTAGGAGACCCCAAACAAATTCTAATTTCTAACTGGAAGTACCAGCTAAGGCCTAAGACAAGTAACTGTTCTTTCAATCTGTGAGCTTCCTAATGAGGTACAAGAAGACCTTGAATTATTCATCAAAGAGCTGTCTCCAGACACGGTTCTTTGACCAGGATTCTTACATAATGTATCTTTTAAATGAATGTATTATTTTCATGTAGAAAATGCTTATGTGCATAATTACAATATTAAAGATGAGCACCCAAAAATGTAGCATATGAAATAAATCTTCAATCCCTAAACCCAAATTTGCAATATGGAGGTAATGATATATATAGTGTTATTAAATAATATTGATATAGCATTTTGAAAGCCTTTTTTGCAAAGTCAGAATAACCCAACCTACAAGCTAGCTAGATTACAAGCATTGTTAAATTATAGGAAGAATTAGGCAAAACTCCTAAAAGAATTCTACTGAAATCAGTAGTGATATTGCTATTTTAGTAGAGTCAGTGTAATGGCTAAGGCACCAGGCTAGGAACCAGGAAGCCATGAGTTCTAGTCTTGCCTTAGGTAGAAAGCCAGCAGGATGGACCTTGGATCACCTCTTAGCCCTAGGAAGGAGGCAATGAAAAACCACTTATGAAAAAACCTTACCACAAAAACTACAGGGACTTGTCGCAACGCTCTCCAGGAGTCAAGACTGACTGAAAGGCACTTATTTATTTATTTAGCGTATATAGGAACATGACAGAAGACAAGTAAACATAGAATATATGAGCAATAATCGCCAGCATCCATAGCATTCCTTAAACTACACGTGCTCCCTGGGTGGTGCTAAATGGGTGACAACAATCAGATGCAGCCATACTGCCTCTTGGGCCTCATGGCCCTAACAATCAGAAATGTATAACTGAAAACTACTAACTAACTAACTAACTAACTAACTAACTAACTAACTAACTAACTAACTAAATAAATAAATAAATAAATAAATAAATAAATAAATAGTATTTAAGTATATTAAAGTTGACCAGCTGGTATAAAGCAGCCTTCTTCAATCTGGTCCCTCACAGAAATGTTGAGCTTAGAATTTCAGAACTCCTGACTTGCCTGATCGCTAACCATCATGACTGAGTATTTTGGCTGTTGTAGTCCCAGCACATTTGAAATGTTGTAAAAACATTTTCGCTTAATTATCATCCTTCCCAAATATCCATCATATTATCAAGAGTTTAATGAAAAATGTGCTGATTCTGAATGAAGTTTCTTGGCTTCATGCAGGC